AACAAAAGTTCGCTTAATCGCAAACAAAACACTGTTCGCCCTCTTGGCAACCCTAACACACTGCAAAGACGACTTCAAGGAGTGCACAATAGTAATTGCCAAGTCTCTTTGTTCGGTAACGTTAGACAGGCACCTACGATCAAGTATGTAGTTGTGAGAGTCGCCCGTCGCGCTCGCCTTCTTCGTTTTGGCCCGCAAAGTGACACACTTTTCAAAGTTAAACCGCGTTAACCATTTTTGGACCATTCACATAAGCGGTAATATTTTAAGATTCTAGCAACTATAGGTGCGACATAATTTCCCTACGCGAGACTAACGGTTAACACTTGCGGTAACACACAGATAACAAGAAAGCAAGCGAAAGAAAGTTTATTCCATCCAAATCGCTACTATATCGCTGCACCATTTGCCCTTTAATTTAAACTGGAAAAAGATTAAGCGACAATTATTTATTCTGGCTTCAGTCTATAAACACACATTTTTTCTCGGTATGTAAGGAGTCGGCAAAGATCGGCACAAGCCTTCTGCATTAGAAATTAGTGGAAGTTTGATCTAGCAGCTAACATGAATATCATTTTAAAAAACAAAGCTTCGTACGCAGACGACATATCCTATCTGTGCATGACCATGACTATGTTAACATAACTGATTATTAAGGATTTCCGACGGAATAAGAAACGTCACGCAAATAAAACTCTTGTTCCAATGGTCGCTTCCTCATCTTCTAATACCCTTTTATACATTAAGCCTGCTTTTGTTTAATGATTTCTAGCCTTTTGATGAAAAGGGTTCTTATTTCTATTAACGGTTCACTTTATTCTAAACTATTAGTGGAAGGCACTCCTGCGCTGAGGATTCTCATTGAAAATGCCAAAGACGTGGATTACGTTTACCTCATCTGCAAAAACAACGGCAACACACACGTCATTACCATTGACCGAAACAACTACACAGAAAGAATAAACGGTAACCACATGCAATCCTATCACCACTAATAGACTGCTTAAAGTAAATGTTGCACGTCTGTCCCATTCAGAGAATTTTTCATAGTCTTTTTATTGGCCTGGTTAGAAGGTAAACGAAATAAAAAACGTAATGTGCTCTGAGTGCTCTGCAACAGAGATCGGTAAAAGGCACTGACCTTTTAAATTTCGGATTTGACGAAAATAATTTTTTCTGCTTTCGACAGCCCTCAGCAAATCCATAAATAATTACGTCCAACAATCCATCAACAAAATCGACAACGCCGTCGCGGACGAAATACGGCAAATGAAGAAGAACCTCAAACGTTTGAGTAGGTACCGAATTCTGCTTAGTTATTTAAATTCATTTATGTTACTCATTCTGCGAACCACAATTCATCATCGGGTAAAATAAATCGTAGAGCCTTCCAAGGGCAAAAGTTTGCCAGCCCAAGTGCCTCATGGCTTTCTTGATTAAAGTTTCAACGATTGAGTAATGCATAGTTCTCGTGCGCTTAACGCGTCATAAGTGCCAGTAGGAAATAAGATGAAAGTGCTTGCAATTATTTAATCTAATTAAAATGACGAATTGTAAAAATGGACAAAAAAGTCCAACAAAAATCCCTTTGGTAAGAACATGAATACTTTCGAGCAAGAAACTTACCAAAACAACTCCTATTGGGTAACGAAAGAAGGCTATAGACCAAAGACATTATAGGAGCAACCCCTTTTACCATAAAAGCGGCCCTCCAATTTATTCTTAACCACCGTAATACTTATCATCCAGAGTTTTAGTCAAATTTTGCCAATATGTTAAATATGTCTACCTGACTCTGCCTCCAGTCAGTAATATGGGTAATATTCGGATGTACTCAGCAGGGACGGCCTTCCTAGGTTCATCGGGCTGTCTGTGTTGGTTTGGTTGCTTCGCTTGCTGTAGCTAAAAGCGCATCTGGCATGCTTACAGCTTGCATAGCCAATAGACATCGCTCAAAATTATATGTCGTGACATAGAGTGTACTTATATTCCAGCTACGTGATTCCGATAATTCTGCCTTGCGACAGAAAACAATCAAATATAGGTCTTGCATATAGTCCTGAAAATGGTATCGGAAGACCTATTGGCCGCCTGGAAATTATATGACATAATTGTGAAAAAGCTCGCGGCATTCGGTGGGACATTCGTAGCTCAAGTGGGTAGCTCAAGTGGATAGAGCGTTGGCTCGGCTAAAAATGCCACTCTCCTATGCGGGTTCGTATCCCGCCGAATGACGTGAGTTTTTTCACGATTAGGTTAACTAAATTAACTAAATCTGCCAAACCAACTAAATAATTATATGACATAGTCAGTCACGGTAAAATTAAGATAGAATTCCGGAATCCTGTTAATTAGATAATTAAGCAATTCTCCGCGCCCTTAAACCCTTTGCAGGGACAAAATTAAAAAAAGAACGCTTTCTATCTTTGCGATTGACTTTATTGTAGAGGATAAACACAGTCACGGCGTACTTGCATGGGTGATACCTTGTTTTTTCTTCGTACCTTATTTGCATTTCCATTGTTAAACTTGTAAGCTTTAAGCATGTTTTTTGTGAACATGCATTTTTAGACGGATTTGAGAAAACGCGCAATATCAATGAAGACTTCTGTGCCAAGGGTGACGCTGTTCCTATGACATGGACTTTTCTACGTGACCCAAGTGGCAAACTCGCAGTAATTGTTTTAAAATACACTCTTTGGGTTTATTTAGCGGTCAGCGGCTGATGAGTCGTAGGCTTCAGGTAACTAAAATGCAGCTCCTGCCTAGAACTGCCTTAGGTACGGTCGCATGGCTAGGTTTTCATATGCCTTCACCAGTAAAGTTAAGCCTATTTAAAAAACAACGCCCACCTTGTTCGCTGCAATGTTGATGATAGCCGGAGAAATTTAAAACCGGCTGATCACTGTAGACTTATAATAAAGACATCGTTTCTTGGTCTGTAATTTATTATAGCTGACGTGCGGATCTTCAAAGGGTCTTCTCTGCTCCACATCACAGACTGTTGATACCACCCATGTATGCGGTAATTCTACACTTCAAGCAGACAGTTTGAATCTCTGAACTGATTATTTTTGACTAGAGCTGCAGAGTTTATGGGGGCTTATTGTTTAATACTGAACATATTTTTTTTAGACCTGGAGGAGGATGGAGAGTTCTTAACCTATAGGCACACTGCAAGACGTTCTGTGGAAGAAACGGAGATATACAACTGCGTTCATAATGACGATGCTATAACAACGAAAGTTGTGCACTAGCTCGGTGAGCAGACACGTTCCTTAGATATAGTTGCGATTCCCCTACACCACTATAATGCGTATTCCACTAGTCAATATTACCCTCCCCGATTTTGATTGATAATGCATTTCGCCCTTGAGGAGCATATTTAATGTCTATAGGCATGGACGGAAATTTGTAGTGACCATTTAGGCCGAAACCCATCGGCCACTGTGTAATATACACATGCTGTCAATGGGCAGAAAGTAATGGTGTATATTGATGTTGCAACATACCACACTAACCGCCCAGCTATTAGCTAAAGCGCTCAGACACAGGTTTTGCCAGAGAGCAAACAACGGAGGCTTTGACTGGGCCAATGACTGGCTGGACCCCTTGCAGCTGCGTGAAGCAGCGGCAGAATACCGGCGAAAAACGTGTCTGGGCCTTCTTTTGGACAGTACATGGGCTCTTAGCATGGTAAGTTACAACATTAATATTAAGGTGATTCGCCATACGAAGTCGCACATTCCACAGAAGCACTGGTGCAATGTTAGCAGCCTTAGATTTCACTTAGGAGCCCTTCTTCCAGGCAGAAGTCGCTGTCCGCCAACTAAAACCAATTTCTTCAAAAGGTCCTCCTAAATGAGCCTTTTCATTCTGCTGTCGTGTGTAGGTGGATGGGCAGGAAAGTTAATTATGTAAATTGCTTAAGCGCCTGATCTGGGAAGTAGACGAAAAGGGTTCGCTTGTGGAGAGTACAATATGAAGAACGCACTCTTGATACATTACACAACCACAGAAATCATATACTACTAGCATGTCAAAAAGCCGTTGAGTGTCTAGAGTTCTTTTCAGTCTAAGCTAACTTGGCTCAAAGCTCAGACGGCTGTTAAATCAGTGGTCCTAAATGAAGGTTGTTTAATAAGGTCAAGTCAGCAGAGGAATATAAAATATCCGAGAAGGAACAGGTAGACATTAACTTGAAGTTGCTTCAGTCGATGTTTATCGTTGTGGTTGCGCAATTATACGAACGATTCTGCTGCTTGGAGGTAAGTTAAATGCAATGGCATATCCTCCCTCATCTGCGCTGTTATACTGACGTGGTCTTTATGCATTTTTGCATTGGCAGCAACGTCTATTTTAATTAAACTTTTGGTTGGGCGCTGTTGTAAATATTCTTATTCGTGCTCCACCTGTTCTCTTAAAGAACATTGTCTCAAGCCAAGGATTGCATTAGATTTTTTAATCCAACCACCCCTGCCTCGATTAATAGTATTAAATCCACGATTCAGCGTACAATGGCGCCAGCGATATGTTGAATTACCTCTTGTCTTTAACCCCATCTTTATGCAAAGACGTCTATCTCCGATGAAAGTAAGCAATTGAGTTTAGGGTAGGCAAACCGTGGGAATCTGTGGCTACCGTCTCAAATTGTACTTTACATTCAGCTAAAATAACTAATTTCACAAACGGAAGCCACACGGACATGTCATTATTTTCCTCTCAACTTGCAGCTGCAGCTCAAGAAGTGCCATGCGCCTGGAGCAGCCGAACAATAGACGCGAATGCTTCCGACATAAACATTACGATTCCTGCCATTGGTAAATGTTTGGTAAGCATAACATTAATGATACTATTTAATAAGCCTGTGGACACTTTTTATCTTAATAATAATACCGAAGAGGAAAACAGCAAAACGAGAAGAAAAGGGTAATGTGAGCATGGCTGGATGAGATATAGGTTTGTGGTGGTAATGGTGTTATTGCTTGTACATACTCTCAGGCAGCAGAAAAATTCCAACTCTGTCGAACACTATTACAGCGTACGAATTGGTGTTTTACCCAGATGAGTATATTATGGCATAGAACCGTCCCGTCTTTACTTAATGCTGCTTTAATTACACAAATAATAGACATTTTTGTCTAGGTGGATTTTTAAGTACTTTCAACTGCACTGCCGACTCAATATTTACTTTAAATAGTCTATTTCTCAAACAACAGCAACATGGAACTGTCGTAGAAAAGAGCCTAATCGTCGTTCATTACTATAAGATCATGATGCCTAAACTCCACAAATAATGGACACTGTCGTTTAGGTGAATTATTAGGTGCCCAGTTCTCCTCCTGCTGTTATTTCTGACAAAACTATCTTGGTGATCACCCCCCTCCCCGAACAGTCATTAGGCGTTCCATGATGACTGCGTACATGCTCATGTACAAGCATTTGACAGAGTTTAGTCATGCCACCCAACCCCAGTCGACTGTGATTTGATAGGTGGTCTACTTCTGTTAGAATTGATAATACTAGAGAGCGATCCGGTTTGCGCATAGGCCTCAGTCTGCAATGGCTGTAATCATTCTTTCAAGTGACTTCTTTAGTCCTATCGCAATCAATACTGAAAGTGCTTAAACTTCCCGCACTAATTTCACTTTCCTGTGATGTTCTCACTATTTGAGTCATCATTGATGTGGCCTGGGTGATAACGGTCTTTTTCAAAATAGACCAGTGTCGGCAAAGCTGCCGACCACAATAAGAACGTATGATCCAGTTTACTGTTGTCTAGTCTGTGAGAATTTCAGAAATGTTGTTTTGTAACGCAATCAACTTATCCTTGGAAATATGTTTTATCCTCTTTTCTGCAATTATTCGGGCCCAAAAGCCCTCATCCTAAATACCTTTTCTTTTGCAGTTCGCCTCCACGAACAAGGATGTCTTCTTTCTGAGAAACAATACATTCGTCGGAGGGGAAGGCGGGGAAAGTTTTCTGTTCCGGCCAGAAGAACGTAAGATATTGCTACAGCAATCGGCTTTTGCAAGTTGAATTGTTTCACTTCTCAACAGATTAAAGTTTGTGGTATGGTTGAAAGTAAAGGTAATTAATGATAATATTAATCAGACGTTTTTTTTTCTATATTCGTTTCTTAGAGTAGTTCTATTTTTAACGTAATGATTCCCCACCTTTTGACGACAGGGATTTTAATATTTGTTTAATTGTTTGTTAAACGTTTAACCATTAGTGGAAGGTATTCCTGCGCGGAGGCTTATCATCAAAAATGCCACAGACTTGGATTTCCTCTACCTCTTCTGCAAGCACAATGGCATCCGTCACGTCTTCACCATTGCGAGAAACAATTACAAAGAGAGGATACATGGTAATAACATGCAATTCCATCATAACTAACAAATTGCTTTAGAAGATATTGCACCTATCTCATTCATAACCTTGTTCAGAACGTACACTTACTGTACGCTTCAGTCAACAAAGTAAACGAACCTAACTTGAAGTACACTGCACACGTAGTTAATTGGCTCTTAATCCTCTACGATGGATATAGACCTAGGCACTGGCTTTGCTTTTCGGCTTTTACACAAACTTTTTTCATTTTCTTTTCTTTTCAACAGCGCTCAAAAAATTCCTCCAGGAAACCGACACTGCTGACGAGGAAGAAATAATCCGAATAAAGCGGAACCTCAAAGTATTGAGTAGGTGCCGATTTCGCCGTTTATTATTTTAGTTAATTTATATCACACTTTCTGCAGAACACAATTCATCAT